GAGCGGATGTAACTTGACGTGTTGCAGATCGTGGGGTTGTTGGTGTAAGACGAGAGCACATCCATGTCATAACCTGGTCTATCTGATGAACATCAACATATGATGACTGACGATAACAAGGCTGCGATGAGCTAGTGTCAAACTACTGTATCTAATCACAGTCAACTCGACTGATTAATGTTCTTGGCCTTTGTTTAGCAGGTGATACAGTAAGGCGTATGCATAGCTTTGAAACACCAAGCTCTACCCTATATGCGGATTTACTCGAGTCGGCGTCATGCTCCACGGCCTGGTCGAACTATACCTTCGTATAGTGTAGTGCAGTGCAGTGTAGTGTTGTTTATTACGGATAATATGGGTTAGTCGAAGAAGCGGTCAACTATGCAAAGATGAAGATCGAGATCAATGCAAGACGTGTCGTTCGTTGATATGGTTGGTGGTGATCGGGCGGCCACTAACAATGGCCATCAACGAACCTAAAGGATGGATCATTGGTCTAAAACCTGCACAAGAGAGTCACGGGACAATATTCGCAAGCAAAAACCCGGCCAAGTATGCATGTCCTCTGCTGAGTTGTCGAATCCTCCACTGGACCAGCATTAGGTAGGTCCTGCAGTGAGCCGTAAGTTCAACTAGTGTGAGCATATCTTGGAACGGGTGCGGCCCCAACGGTAAAATCTGCAACGGTTCTGTAGAGGGGAAGATCGGAGTTGGGATCATCATTGGCTCATAACTCAGTCAGATCCTGGTAGCGAATGGTCGGCAGCCAGAGTCATCGTTGAGCGTGACTAGCTGTCATGGGCATACGGATGGAGTTATCGTGGGGGCGGATGAGGGGAAGCTCACAGCATCAATAACAGTCATAGCGAGCAGAACAGGCAGGGCACAGCAGGACATGAGGATGGTGAAACTATTATGGTGTGTCTACCATACCATGTTTTGGGAACCATAAACCAGAAGCTAACAGTGGCACAGCAGTCAGAGTAGGTGTGATGCCTGCCACAGCCATGGGAATGTCTTGTTCAAGGCTGAGACGTGCAAATCCCAGGAATCGAAAGATGATGTTTCGAATGCATGGCCTAAGCAGCAGATCTCCATATGGGGAAATGGAAGCGATACAACGATAGCGAGGGCCCAGTATCAGCATGCACGAGCATGTCTGTAAGCATCTTTCAGTGATGCCACGACAGCGTGTGTATCAGTTCCGGCTGAGAGGTAATAGGCCGGAAGGGAGAGGGGCTTGAAAGGGCCCACGTACGCTGGTATGGAAGTTGATAATCACAATCTCACTCTCACTCACTGCTGATGTTTATGCCATGAAGAATTGCGTACATATCGTGCCGCTGTACCGGAGGTAGGCAGTGAAGTTGCAATGGTGGAGGCGTGTCTACAAGCCAAGAACAGAACAAACATGCATGCATGCATCTGCATGTACATACAGACATGCATGGATACCGAATGCAAGGAATTAGCAAACTAACTGCAATATCCATGTCATCATAAAAGAGAATGGCCTCATGGTCTCCCCAAGCCCAGAAGTACAAACACCACTTGTACCAAAGTATACCCCGTCATGAGACCAAACGGCTAGCTGCCTACTCACCGAGTTTATGTGTTTCATCGAATTGACTTTGAGTATTCTCCATGACCCTTGCTATTTCTGTGTTTGTGGTTGCGGGGTTACTCGATGCTACTGTTTAGTTGCTGCGAGGCATGTCATCCATCCGCCTTCATTGTCTTCCTGAGACGCCAACCTAGACTTTGGTACAGTCATCCTCTGTTCAGAAACAGATATGCGCTCACTCGCAAAACTCAAATGGAGAAATTGCTGTGCTGGTGCCGGTTCATACCGCAACTTTGTGCTAAAACCACCAACCTCATCACCGAACCCCCCCTCCATCCCAGGCACAAGGCACAGACAGGCACAAGGCACAGGCACAAGGTACCAGGGGGTCAAGAACATGACAATGATGAATGATGATGAGGATTGAACATCTTGTGACCCAAATTCCGATGCTGCCGTGTCTTGTAGTCGGCGAATCGTCCGGCCCCGAGTCGTCTCGAGAGCTCGTTTATATCAGGCTGTCATATTTACGATATAATCCAAGCCATTGAGACGCGTAAGGCAAACACAACCACCCCAAGGCAACGTATCCGTATCCGCGACATTCATCAATTACACAAACGACTCCCCTTAACGGCTGTTTTATCAGCTCAGCCTGGATCAATTTATCACAAATCATATTCTGTACACCTCAATTCCTTTACTGAACATTTCGTGATTTTATGTACACAGCCTCTCACTTGGCAAGTGCCGATTACGACATGCTGGGTAGACTAACGTAGTCCAAACCTCAAACCACAACGAAAGTTTCCGCCCCTATATTGGGCATCTCTAAGTGGAGATATCGATCATCTTTCTTACAAAGTGCCGGGCTCATATCGAAGCTCCCGAGTCTCGCTCGACATGGCCAACTTCAGCCAGACGCATATAGTGAAGGGTGAAAGGCTGACATGGATAAAGGGCGTCAAATACAATTCAATTTCTAATCAAGCCTCACCGGAACATCTGAGACATTCACAACAAACCATGACAACCGATTGACACTCCGCCCAGAGCTCATATCTCGACACTATGAAATATATTTATAATAACTTGGCTAGCTCGGATACTCATTTGTGACCAACCGGTAGGGTCACAACGCCGCATGCCGGCAATGTAATGGTCCGCATCCATCCGGCTTTTCCAGACCTGCTTGACAATGGACTTACAGATGGAATTTCGCTTTCACGCCCATTATAACCTCAAAAAATGTGACACTCGTACGTACACCTATCATCGAGGATCTACCGAATAGTTTCGGAACTGGGATTCCATATCAAAAAGGCCTCATTCTCGCTCTTGAGACCCATTATGCCACCCAATGGTACCAGGGTCAGTCTGATGATACACAAATAAGAGGATCAAGTGCGGGATATACACGAAACTCCTCCATGGGACTCTTGGGAGTATCTCCTCCGGACGTCGGGCTTATAGATTTCCTCTTGTCATATCACTCTGAGACATGCAACTGGCCAAGACCCGATATTCCTCATCCACACTGTGCTGCTCCAGGTTTACGGCTGCAACTATGCAGAACACCGACCCAGCTTCATAATGGGGCCCATGGTAGGGGCTTGGTGTTCGTCTGTTTGTCAACTCCAGATCATCGTCGCTGTGCCAAGCTGGAGACAGGACCCATGCGGGACCGACGCCAAGAAACATTCAGGCCGGTGGTCAACGGTGGTGTCTGAACGGCCCGGTCGAAGTGGGCTGTAACAATGATGCTATTCTCGCCTAATTCAATATCCAAGCCATTACCTATGTGATTGATCATCCATACCTTGGAGTAAATCGCACTTCGCCAGACTAGACTGATGACTTGACTGACGTGACAAGCTGGGGCAGTAGACTGTGATCAGCAAATGATATATTACAGGCATTGAGTGCGCAGTAAAGTCGCTGGTAGCCTGTCTCCTCCCGCCGCCCGCAGCCAGCCCGAACACCCACAGGAACCCGACGGCCGTATCCGCAGTTCCCGTCTGTCAAACCCTGGTATTCGGGTCAACCCTCGTCGACCGACATAGTAACATCAAATTGTCATGCCATTCAGGCCAGCCAGAGAAACAAGAAGATTCAAGTCCTCAATCCTAAGCAATGAAAAGACTTGTGCAAGATTAGCAAACATAGGAGGCTCTTTGATTACTTTGTTGCTCCTTTGGTCCCGGTTATGGAATGTCCTCCCCAACAGGCACTTGCGTAGAAGAAATCCAATTCTCCATCGTGGCCTGGCCTTCTGGCCGCGCTCTTACACCCCCACCACTGCTAGCTGCAGTGTTTACTCTTTTCTTGACCACGAGGCACAGCACCTGTCCGTATATTGCAAATCCCTCATATGAGACGTCCATAGCTAGCTTCTTCTTGTCTTCGTTTCCGTCAAGGCCGTCGTTCGTCCGGGCCCTCTGCCTCTTGTGTGGGGGTGCCTCCGTATCAGAGTCGATTTCGATGGCCGAGGCTGTTTCATCATCTTCAAATGCCTCATCGTTGCCATCTTGATCCGGACCCTGTATTCCTCTTTGGCGCTTACTCCGCCGTGTTGTTGTTTCGGCGACAGGAATATCGGCGAGTCTCACCTCATCATCGTCGTCTTCTTGTAAGACAGGCGCACGGTAGTCATCCTCAACATCCACGGGAACACTATCTGTCTCACCGATGAGTTTAGAGGAGTTGGACTCGAGTTTCGGTGGTAGCTTGTCCCTGAAATGTTTGGTCTTGTAAAGGAGAGAATGTCTCGTGCTCGTCTCTGTCAAGAATATGGAGACCTCAAACTCGTCTAAGTGAGATCAGCTACTGATAGAGACAAAAATAGATATCAACACACGTACCTGATACTATGACGTCTTTGATGCTCTTCTTCTTGCTCTTCTTTCTTATCCTTTCCTTCTCTTCGCGAAGCTTCGGAAGCACCAAAGGACGGATTGCTTCGATGACCTTGGGTAATATTGGATCTCGAGGATTCAGAAGCCATGACTGGGCTAATGCAGGGTTATCTAAATAAATCCGGCATTCAAGAACCGAGTACTTAGATATCCTCAGATATCGCCGGACCGGAGCCATCGGATATTTGACGCTATATGTGAAAGTGTGAAGTGAAGTAAATGTGAGTAGCGTGAACGGCGCTGGACATGGCGTCGCTTCAGTGATGTAATGAGTACCTCCTGTCCACTATAAATCGCGTCGCGACACGCTAAAAGTCATAGAACTTCCATCTCTTGGGCAGGTCTGGAATTGGGCCCCAGCGTCAGCCTTGCAGCTCCTGTAAGCGATTGGATAGCGGGAGCTTCAATTGAACGACCGCTTGAACAGCCCAGTAGCGCCAAAAAATCTCCATTGCTCAGCCGTGTTAACCCGAACACCGAAAAGCATCCTAATTAAAGTGCGAAATGGTTCTTGATCAACCATGCTCCAATCCTGGAAGTCGTCCTTGAGATTGCCTCGGTCGAGATTTCCGTATGTCTTCCCCTTCGCAGAGCCTCCAAAATTGGAACGTGGGGGAGCTAATATAGCCGGTCTCGCAGTGCTCGACCGACCTCCAAGCTTGAACCAAATTATCTCAAGCAATGTACCGACGATTTATACGCATGGCAAGCACAGAATCGACCTGAGGAGAAGCCATTCACCCTCCATGATGGCCCCCCATACGCCAATGGCGAGCTTCATGTCGGCCATGCCATGAACAAAATTCTTAAAGATATGATTGTGCGTGTTAAAGTGCAGCAAGGCCGACGAGTGACATATCGACCCGGCTGGGATTGTCATGGTCTGCCAATCGAGATGAAGGCACTGGGATCGCACACGACGAAGGGCTTGACTCCTGTACAAGTCCGGGACACAGCACGAAAGCTAGCCTCCAAGACGGTTGTGGAACAGATGAAGGGATTCCGGGCTCTCGCCGTAATGTCTGACTGGGAGAAGAAGTGGACAACGATGGACCGTGAATACGAGATAAGGCAATTGCGTGTCTTTCAAAACATGGTCCGTCGAGGGTTGATTTACCGCAAGCACAAACCCGTTTACTGGTCACCTTCTTCGCGGACTGCGCTTGCTGAGGCAGAGTTGCAATTCGTAGAGGATCATGTCTCTACCGCTGCATATATTAGGTTCCCTATAATTTCAGACTGGTCCTCGATACCTGAACTTGCCGGTTTCAAGGGAAACCTGTATGCAACTATCTGGACAACCACTCCTTGGACCCTCCCTGCAAACCTGGCTATTGCCATCCACGACCAAATCGAGTACTCGATCCTCCAGGTTGGCGATGACGGCTATCTTGTTGCTTCGAGCCGTGTTGGGGATGTGAAGCGCTTCCTTGGCGACTTTCAAGTTGTAGCGCATTCTATTCCAGGTTCTAGCTTGAAAGGTCTAGAGTACAAGAACAAACTCCGGGGCAAATCCGCTCCGCCGCAGCCTATCATTACTGCCGATTTCGTTACCTCCAGCTCTGGTACCGGTCTGGTTCACATTGCCCCAGGCCACGGCCGGGACGATTATGAAGTGTGCTCTAAAATCGGCATTGAAGCATTTGCTCCTATCGACGATGGCGGTTTCTTTACCGAAGAGGCTTACCCGGACGATCCAGAGAAGCTCACAAAAGCGAGTTCCGTCATGGATGGTGGAAGTCACGCTGTATTGGAATTAGTGGGCGATGATGTACTCGGAAGCCATAAACAACGGCACAGTTTTCCTTACGATTGGCGTACCAAGCGACCTGTGGTGACTCGTGCTACAGCCCAATGGTTTGCTGATGTTGGTAGTATCAAAGATGATGCCCTTGAAGCACTCAAGGATGTTCGATTTGTTCCAAAGGGTGGCCGAAACCGTCTCGAAGCTTTCATCACACGTCGTAGCGAATGGTGTATCTCTCGCCAGCGATCATGGGGAGTTCCCATTCCTGCACTCTATGACGAGAACGGAAATGCTGTCATGACAACAGAAACAATCGACCATATCATCTCAGTTATGGAAGAGCGTTCTTCGTCTGCCTGGTTCTCTGATGACCCAGATGAACCTGCTTGGATTCCACCCAACATGGAAGGCAAATACCGTCGAGGCACTGATACAATGGATGTCTGGTTTGATAGCGGCAGCTCATGGACAGAAACCGAGGGCCCTGCCGATGTCTACCTTGAAGGTTCCGACCAACACCGCGGATGGTTCCAATCCAGCTTGTTGACTTATGTTGCTACGCAAACATCAAGGGAGTCGACTGGCAAAGCCTCTGCTCCCTTTAAGACTTTGGTCACTCACGGATTCACGCTCGATGGGAAAGGCAAGAAGATGTCAAAGTCGGAGGGCAATATGATTGTCCCCAGCGAAGTCATGAAAGGGCTTCTCTCACAGGCTTACTCCAAAGGCCACAGGCAAAAACTTGACCCCCTCGGTCCAGATGCTATTCGACTATGGGCAGCGAGCGCCGATTTTACATCAGATGTTCTTATAGGGCCAAATATTCTTAGGCCTGTTAATGCTTCGCTGATCAAATATCGAACCATCATCAAGATGCTTGTCGGGTCAATTTATCCAGAGGGCCGTGAGCGTCCACTGACCAAGTTGGACCAAATGGCACTTGTTCAACTTTCCGATACCATGTCACAGGTCATGCAGTCATTCAACGACTTTGAGTTTTATAGAGCGGTCAGTACAATTAACCACTGGGTGGCGACTGATTTGTCCGCATTCTACTTGGAGGCCCTGAAGGACCGACTCTACTGTGGTGATGGCGGCGGTGCCTTGGAACCTATCTTCATCGGATTCCTGCGCATGCTGGCACCGATAACCCCTATGCTTGTTGAGGAGGCTTGGTCGTTCCGGCCAGAATGGATGACCAAAGACACGTGAGTTATCATCCTGTGCTCCCTCATGTTTACGATTTGCTAACATGGACCAGTTCCTTGATAAGCCCAGCTCGCCATCTATATGACGACCCTCTCGTTGACCCTCTGCGTTTGACGCTTCCTCAAGATGTGGTGCGTAAGGATCAGTCCATCATCACAGAAGTTCATGGCGCTGTAAAGGCGACACTGGAGGATGCACGAAATGCCAAGGCGCTTGGCAGCTCTCTCCAGAGCGCAGTCTACCTGGAAGTCGAGGATGGAAAAGCGGCGGCTGTTCTTGGACGTTACATGGACGAGCTCCACGACATATTTGTTGTGTCTTCGGTGCAAGTCAACGAACCCCTCCCTGAAAATCATGCTTGGGCTTTCCAAAAGGAATTCGAGATCCAAGACGCCAAGGTCAATGTGCATGTGCTTCCCCCGAAGGAGGAAAAATGCTCCAGATGCTGGCGATACCTGGCGCCAAAGAAAGATGCGCTATGTGGCAGATGTGAAGAGGTTGTCGGTGCATAGAGGAGATATAAGAGAAGGATGGCACGTTTGATGAGGTGTACCCCTCTTTGTCACGACAAGTGTACAGTATTTATGTAAACTATCAAGATGTTAATGATCTATACTGATTCCAGTTTTGGACAGTATCTGTATCAATTAGACGAAACAGCCGTTACTATGTATAGAAAATGTATGAGAAAGCGCTCAAGCACCAAGGCCTGGAGCTGTATCTGGTCCATTCCATGGTTGAGTCGGATTCCAAGCGCATGACTCTATTGATGAGCTTGAACTGCCCCTGAAMCCCCCGCCATTACGAGGTGTTCAGCAGCTCCCGCATCCTGACTTAGACCTTGGCTTCGAATGAGTTAATTATTTTCATGTGATGAGTATCGGCAGTTCGGGCCTGAGACACCCGGTACTTGGGATAAGGTGTAAGCTTCCCCTCAAACCTTGTACTCCAACACAAGATGAGGTGCCACATCAAGACACGCATGCGTCACTCCCCGCCACGCTTGTGCCTAGGATAGGTGGGAAAGGCGTAAAACTGGCGCATCTGAGAGGCCCTGCCGCCTGTGGCTTTAGTGTCTTGTAGCACCCCGTCGGGTCACATCCACTCCCGTGACGTCCTATAGACCCAAGGACCCCTACATCTAATGTCCAATCCTTTCGACATTGACGCTCCGCAAATGCAACATCCTAACCAACTTACAAGAAAATCTTTGGTCCAACGCATCATCACTGCGACGTATTCCCGTGCACTTCAAAGTGAGCGATGAGCTCTTGAGGCGGATTCCCCCTGTCGGGCATCCACTCCGAACTCGACACTTTGTTGCCGTCATTATCAGTACAAGATTAACTCCCCAGAAAACATCGTCACCAAGGACAACAATATTGACCAGGATCTAGAGAATTAGATCGGCAAAGACCCTTGAAAGAAGAAAAACGATGCTGCAATATTGTTTTATTCATCAACACTGACGACAACTCCCCGCTTCTCCTTCGAGCGCAAGCCTGAGAGTCTACCCCTGCTGCTGCCATTGCATGTAAATACCTGCGCGCAATGGCCGACCCTCGTGCTGCCTCGTCGCTGAGTGCATATGGCAGACGGGATGGCCCAGTTACGCCAGAGCCTCCCACGAGGTTTAGTTACGACATCGCCGAGAGAGGAGAACCCAGCATGAACGCTCTCCTCCACGCTCCTCTATCCCCTGAACGACCGCTTGCTTTCTCCGATGACGAAACTCTTCCACGCTACCACCACAAGTCTCGTGGAGCTGCTGCAGTTCCTAGCGGCCTTCAAGCCGGTCGACCGAAACGAGCCCGTTCGAAGCGACCCCAAAAGACCCAGCCGAGCAGTGCATTCTTGCTTCAGGAGCCCATGGCCACAGATGATGACTCCGGAAACCAACGCCGGGCACATCGAAGTAAATCTCGACACAAGGGGAAGGATGTCCAAGAGCCTTATTTATCCAATGGCGCACGGGACCTAGGTCTTGGGATTAGCTCCGGCAGCGGTCCTCGAGCTCGCATCGTGTCGCCAGATACATCTCAGGAGGAGTTGCATATAACAAAGAGGAATGAAGCGCAAAGGCGAGGCCGTAGGGCGCACGCTTCACAACCCGGTGCTGCTTTGGACGTTGACTCAACCCAGATAGTCAACATGGCATTGAATCTGAGCGAATCACGGCGAATTGCGTCTCGGCGCAACATTAGCCGCGGCAACCCTCCACGTCTGGCACCCGTACAAGACTCTCAGACCGGGAGCAATCTCAGAGCACATCTTCAGCAACAAAGAAAGGCTGTCAGAGGGGCATCGCCGATTCCGAACCAAAGTCTTACACCACGACTGCCGGGTGTTCGATCCAGTAGTCCACTGCGCCCTTCACCATTCGAAGCTACCGACGCCTCGTACCGTTATCATTTTTCGACATCAACTTTGGCGAGAGCGCAGAAGGCCAGAGAACACCTAGAGTTAATGGCCCAGTATAGACGATTGCTACAGGTTCTTCCTCCACTTAAGACTGGCTACGATAGACCTTCAGCTTCAAGCCCACCTGGATCACCTACAGAGGGGAAAATGCATACCTTTGAGAGCAGAGAGTTCATGATTCCACTTGGTCGAGAGTACAACCCGTTGCAGTATATCCGAAATCGAAAAGTCAGAGCTCGTGAACGAATGGTCATCGATGGTGAGAAGCAAGGATTTGCTGACGTCGAATCTGTTAAAGATTGGGTCAATGAGGCTTCGGAGCGAGCTTCGAGGGAGCTTCTTTCCAGTGACGGCTCCATTCTGCCACCATTCCCTGGGGCTGAAGAAATCGATTCTCAGATAGCCACGGATTCAGCTGCCAAGGTGGCACTGAGAGTTCGGCGTCCAAGAGTTGACTGGTTCTTCGAAGCCTGCGACTTGATTGCAGATGCCTACTGGCTCGAACAGGACCACCACAAGCAACTCATTGAAGACAGAAATCTCAACAAAATATACCCACAAACAGGAGAAACCCTAAGCCGGCCGATTTCAGGACAGACCGATGAGCTTGGAACAGGTGTACCGCCTTTCATAACTGAAACCATGGAAGAAATGAATGGAAAAGCAAACTCGAACGAGTCCAACCCTTCGAAGCCCGAGATTGAATTTCTCGAACCAAGCCACAGAGACCGAGCACGGCAGAAACTCCACGAGATGGGATCTTTCCACCGACAGACTGGCTCAGTGCACCATCGTCGTTTCAGGAGACGGGGATCATCTTCGGATGATTCCGCCAGTGAAGACGATATGCCAACCGAAGGAAAGGCCCGACGTGGAACAATATCAAGTCGCGAGACTGAACTACTGGAGAAGCAAATGTTGGAAATGGTGGCCCGAGACATGAGACAGCAAAGACTCTCTCATGTCCAGGAGACCGAAGCTGAGTACATGCAGCCCGAGGACTCGACTTCACCTGAACCCAAACCACAAACTCAGCTGGCCACTAGTAGGGAATGGAACATGATGGATTCTAAAGATTCAGAAAACCGCCCCATTCATAACAGAGCTTCCTTGGAAATCCCATCACTGTCAAAACTGGGAAGGAATACGGGAGGAGGGTCCCAACACGGCAGAAACAGCAAAGAACATACCGACTCTCCACAGCCCATGTCGCCTGAACTTGCTCCTCAATACAGTCTATCTGCACCACCGACTGGTCTACAGCTGTCGGCACCGTCCAGTCGATCATCATCTCCCTCCAGAAACCCATTTACAAAAGTAAAGCAAATCTTTAGGGACAAGACGCGCGACGAGTCTGAAGAACAGGCATTGGAGACGGAGGCATCCAGTAGAAGACCTTCCATCCCAGATCCGTTACCCCCGACGGAAACGAAGCCACTTGAACGACATCCATCAAATTCACGGCCAACCTTCGAGAGCCACAAACACCAGCGTAGCGTGGGTAGTATTAGACCCAGGGGCGACGACCAGGTTGGACTTCGAGGCATGTTTAAAGGCCCTCGTATTGACACGGTAATCCGAGGTGGTGTTTCGAGATTGGGTGATATGCTGTGGAAAAAGGACATCCCCATGGACGGAACCACTGATGTTCTCTCTTCTGATGAATCTGATAATGATCAGCCCAAGGGAAGATCGAGGATTTCTCTCAATTTGTCGCGAACAAACTCGAGGCGTAACAAGGCAGAGCCTCAACATGGGGCTAAACACTTCTTGGATTCGATGCCACAGTTCCAGCCCATGGCAGAAATCCATGGCCAGTCAGCAACTGACGTGAAGAAGTTACAACCTTCTCAATCTCGCGCTGAGGTCAGCAAAGTGCCCGCGCCTGATATTTCTGGAATCTCAAGCCCTAGCAAGCCTCAGCAAGTTGAAAAGGTGACCATTGTTGAGCCTGCCATGTCAGAGGTAGAGTCGTGCCAGGAGAGTGTCAAGGATGGCCCTCGGATTTCAGAAAGGGAGGGTGACGAGGCTGCTCCAATGGTTCGGTTCAATGAGCCTGATAATTTCAGAGCACGGAAGTGGTCTATTGCAAATCAGGCCATTCCCCAGGAAGGACAACTCTCGAAGCGTGAAATTGCCCGACTTCGTACGCTTATTCTTACCTCTGGCATCAAAGCCATGGAGATTTCTCGCCGGGCTCAAGAGCTGAAGAAACCACTTCCTAGCAATGGCCTTCAGGAATTGGTTTCTTCACCACAATCATGCCCAGTGGGAATACCATGGGTTGACATCGCGAAATTGACGCCCAAAAAGTCACTGCCTTTCGACGATGCGCTCCCTTGCTCCGACCATTTCCGCCTAGCTCGCCAGACCCTAGACGTGGCGATCCAAACATCGATTGAGCAGTGGCAGACGTCAGCTGATAGATTCACTGCCCAAACGCGTCCTAAACTAGAGGAGCGCATCTGGTGCGTCCGCTCTCGAATCGCGGATGAACTATCAGGCATGACACGTGAGGCATCAGACCAAGCTGATGAGACGGGTAAAGACTTGGCCTTGGGCCAGCTTCTCAAGGTCAAGCATGTCACCGATCTGACCGACAAGATGATGCGCAACCGACGCAGAAGATTCAGATGGCTCCGCCGCGGAATGTGGTCCGTTGTTGAATGGGTGCTTGTTGGCTTCATGTGGTATGTTTGGTTTGTTGTTACCATTTTCAGACTCTTTCTGGGCCTTGGGCAGGGCATTTGGCAAGGTGTCAGATGGCTCCTTTGGCTATGAGTTAAAGACAAGCCCCAATGGAACTTGGAGTCGCGGGGAGGATTGTGTATCGCGGGAGTTTTCTACACGGGACTGAATGCTGCCAAAAAAAGATACCGCTATTTCATTATTCCACACCTCACTTGTTCTTACCATTTTCTTTTTATTCCCTCTTCTCTTTCTTTTGGATACCAGAGCATTATCAGAATTTTGATACCCCTTTCCCGCCTGTGGGGAGAAGCATGGCGTGGCGCCTTGTCTTTTGGTGGGAGCATCTTGCCTTGGAGCAGTGAATTATGAGCGAAACTTGCTGTACACTTTTCTTTGTTTATTAATACTCCTGTTATCATATTTGTAACTTAGATTAATCATACTCATGCGGTTCTGTTCACTTCTCGTCATTGCACTTCACTGTAAACCATCAAGGGAGATCTCAAAACAAGACTTACGATCTCAAATAATGACACCCGCGTAATCTTGGGCTGAACTTAAGAAACTTAAGGTAAAGTAATGGGCACTTTTGATAAGATAATGCTTCGTTTGGCCCCTTGGATTCAATACCTCAAATCGTTTGACTCTGAGGATTCATTCAGACCTATATTAAAGTTGACACTATCTATGCATTGACAAAGTCATGTAGACAAGCAACATCATTACAACAAACGTCTTGATTATCCCTACCCACCCAACTGGTGTAAAAGAATCAGAAAAAGCAGGCTTCTATAGTCTTTGAATAAAGAAACCCTTCAAAGCCATGTCACCGCGCCACTAAAGCAAAGCACCCATATTATAACCAAGGTTCAAGCCCCCTTTTGATTCTATTCAATCCTCTTCTTGCCCTCCTCGGCATTGAGGTATCGGGCTGTGCTGAGCCCCCTCTCGTGTTTCGCCACATAGGTTCCAATTACAGAGTCCTTGCGCGCCTTGGCGAAATGCTCATTGTAGCCCTCGACAGCAAATGGCCTAGGGTTGAGGCGTGGCCAGTTAACCTGGAAAAAATTAGAATTGATTGAGGTGAGTGTCATGCAGCGAGAAACTTACATAGAGCATACCGTGATTCCAGACAAAGTAGAAAGACCAGGCAGCAATAGCCATCCAGAAGAAAAGGAAGATACGAAGAGGCAGGGCGCTTGCCTCTGGGTCTCGGCGGGTAAACAGACCAATGAATACAATAAAGACACTGAAGGCAAGGATATAGGGGATAGCCTGGATCAAGACCGGTCGACGGTCAGTGAAGACCAGAGTCGTGCCGATATTGGTTGAGCCTGGCCGGTAAGCACCAAGGAAAAGATCAAAAGAATCTTGTCGCGGTCCGTCGAGGAAGTTGTTACGGAAATAACGTGTGATACCAATACGGGCATCCTGAAGGGCTCCGACTTTGGTTCGGTTACCAGTACGTGTGACATCAGTCTTCATGGCACCAGTGCCAGCATATGAGTTGGAGACAACATCAGCGTTGTCGGCCCAGAGATTACGGAACAGATCCTCAAAGGCAGGGTCCTCGTCACGGAATGAAGAGCCGCGGGGCATGAAGCCAACATCCTCAAAGATGCGGTCAAGCTTATGCCGAGCGAACATGCTCTGGACAACGTTCGTTCGGTCGAGACAGTCCATGCAGTTTGTACGCATGACACTCGTCTGGTAGCTACGGGCGTCGAGGCTACCGTCAACGCTGGATGGGGTATCAACGGCACGGAAGTAGCCCTGCTTCTCCAATGCATCGGCCAGCTTCTCAATAAGAGCGTAAGCCTTGTGCATCTTCATGCCCTTCGTCTCGCTGTGGTAGTCAAAGTAGACATAGTGCAGCCGGTCAAACTCTTGGCGTTTGCCCTCCGGCTGAATTGTGGTGAACTTCTCCTCAGTGAGCAGGTCTGCCTCTTGCCGCTCCTTAGGAGAAGAAACAAGCTTCTCCACCATCTGCTCGTACGATTGCTTGACGCGCTGCTCGCGACCCTTCTGGTTGACCAAGTTGATGAGATAGTTGTCACCATATAAGCGAATTTGCTCGTCGAAGTGTTTCTGGGCAGCGGAGAAGGCAGCGTCGACGCCGCGGATTTGGAGCTTGGGAACATATCGCAAGCTGTTGATTTCAGCCCAAAATGTAGGAACGCTACCACGGGTCTGGACATAAGAGAATATCTGCATCTCTTGACCGGCGCCAGCGCCAAACTTGCCGCTCTGCATGTCCGAACTGCCTGCGTATCCGCCCAGCCCGCTGCTACTGTCGTTGAGGATGATGATTTGTTCCGTCTCATTATAGTTGGCGACGTGTCCTTCATCATCTACACCTCGAGTAAAGTACCTGGTACCACCACGGTGGCGGGATCGGCGGGTAATAAGAGCCAGAGTCAAGGGGTTGCCCTTGAATGTGGTAGGCTTGATTTCAAGCATGCCGAAGATGCATGGTAGGATATATGGGTCAACGCCGGGCTGTGCGCCAGGCTGTGATCGAGCGCCTCGGGTGCGGAAGTCGATGAAATCGCCCTGGAGATACTTGTTGAAGAAGAAACGATCGTCGGCCTGCATCCACAGGGGCTTGGAAGTGTCGGCCTGGGCCTGACGTTGGAAGGAGTTGGTAAGATCGATGGAATACGAAAAGCACATAGGCCCTGAAGCCAAAAAGTTCTTGAGAAGCTGAATGAAGATGTCTTCGTCGGGGTCGTGAATCAAGCGCTCGCGCATGGGTAGGATCTCCGTGGCAGCCACCTTATACACCATGTGGCCTTTGAGACGGCCAACAGGCTGGGCTTTCGTGATGAAGATGACATACTTGTCTTTACATGGTCAGTGAAATGCACAAGCCACAACCAGAGGACATCAGCCCAAGATTTGGCGCGGCAGAGACGAACCAAGGCGAAGCTGAATAATTCCCAGAATACCAGCGATACTCGAGACGCGAGTTGTCCTCTTGGCTGATGCGGCGCTGCCTTCACTCAGGCGGACATCACCAGTAGGACGATCGATTACCAGGGCGGGCGCATCGGGAGACGAAGGCGAAGTAAAAGTATAAGAGTCGTTGGCGATCTTGACATTAATGTCGCGATAAGGCAACTTGGGGGTGCTGAGTTGCGCCATGGCTGAAGCTGTAAAGATTAGGAAAGCGAGATATAAACAAAAGAGTTGAAGGTTATAGTAAAGCCCGGGAATCAAGAGTGGCCAACTGGCGACTTGTTCACCCTTGACGGCTGCAAGAGATAGTGAAATAAGAAAAAAAGGGACACGACGTGAGGGATGGGCTGAGTTGGTCTGGTATAGGATGGTTAGCTTGAATTGGCAGACGAGTTGATGAGGCCAGCGCAGCGAAGCTATAGCACAGCCACATGGTTAATCGTAATGACGGGATAGAATGGAACTTAAGGGGACCATTGTGGCTCAAGGCGGGACGCACGTCACAAGCCCAGAGCCATGGGATGAGGCTCGTGAGATGTAGAGGTACATGCCGCTCGCCGAAATCAGGGTCTATGGATCAGTACAGCTACCGTGTGAGCAGGGCGCAAGTGTACCTCTCCGAGACCCCGTCTTCCCGCCTATTACAGTGGCACTGTGGGTGTCCCTCACCAAAACAGGCCCTGCCTGACGTGTGCCTCGTGCCATTTGAGCCAGTCACGGCTCAGGACTAGAGAACCAAGGCAGTCACTTTACCTCCCCAAGTCCCATCCACGTCCGTCCCGTCTTAATCAAAGAAGCGAAGCCCCATCTCAAGACTCGCCTCTCACCTTCAGCCTCGACTTTTATCTTGCATCTCACTATCGTCGCCAACCTTCTCGCCCTAAATCTCCCTTTTCCCTCGATTCGCTTGCGTCGCGCAATCACTCCGATACGATTTCCGGTCCGAGCGTCTCTCCACGCCGTTATTCTAGGACACGTCCGATCCCTCAAACGTCCAGGTCATACCGCCACTGCTGCTGTCACTATCACTCTTGATAGACGCTCTCCGTTCCTCTCCATCTCGAAACCACATTCGCATCTGTCATTATGGCCTCTCGACAACCTCCCGCTGGCGCCCGCGGCACTAACACCCGGTTCGCTCAGTTTAAGCTGGTTCTTCTAGGTATGTTACATGGTGTCGGCATTCCTTGCCTGACCAGTTTCGGTTTCATGGCATATTTGCTAACTTGTGACATAGGCGAGTCCGCTGTCGGAAAGGTATACCACAACGACAGTCTCTGATATGATGGTTCACTAACTTTTCAAACCTCAGAGTTCAATAGTCTTGCGATTTGTCAAGGTATGAACTACTGGCGCCCATGTCATTGTATGAGACAGCAACTTACCAAAGACATTCTAGGACCAATTCGATTCCTATCGCGAGTCCACCATCGGTGCTGCCTTCTTGACCCAGACCATCTCTCTCGATGAGAACACTACTGTCAAGTTCGAGATCTGGGATACCGCCGGCCAGGAACGCTACAAGTCTCTTGCTCCCATGTACTACCGAAATGCAAACTGCGCCGTTGTCGTTTACGATATCACTCAATCTGTACGTTCACCAGATCTACAACCACCATAGGGCCATGTTAATATTCCTCCAGGCATCACTAGACAAGGCAAAGGCTTGGGTTAAGGAGCTCCAACGCCAGGCGAATGAGAACATTGTCATTGCCCTCGCAGGAAACAAGTTGGATTTGGTTACTGAGCAACCCGACAAACGAGCCATTCCCACCGCCGATGCTGAGGCTTATGCTCGTGAAGCTGGCCTCCTCTTCTTCGAGACTTCTGCCAAGACTGCCGAGAACGTCCAAACTCTTTTCACAGCCATAGCTAAGAAGCTGCCCCTGGACCAAGCTGGTCCACGACATGCTCGACCGGGCCAACGACCAGGTGTCAGCCTGGCTCCCGAGAACTCCAACACTAACGTCAGCGGCCCTTGCAGCTGCTAAGCTGGTATTGAGTTTGAAGCGTCAGGTTTAGAGTCCACTTTTCGTTACGCCCACGCACATATCACAGAGGCCTCAGCGTGGATCCAGCACGACGAGTTGTCCGAGATTACGGACTCTGAGGTAATGCATGAGCTGGGGCGCGTCATATAATTTATCGGAGTCCTTGGGTTTGGAGGGATCAGTTCAGTCCATACTTTTTTAATACCGAACTTGAATTTTGTTGCTGGTAGTTTGAGCGGCCTGGATGCTCAAATGTGCCGTAGCCTGGCACTTCAGCATACCAGAGAACATGGAGTGGCTAGGAGAGGTATGAGAACTACAAGCCTCGATCATAGGCGACTTATATGTCTGAAGGTTTCTTATTCCCCATCGGTGACTCATGAGATGGACAAGCAGGAGAGTATGGACGAGCCGCTCTATAGTTTCTTTTTCTTCACAGCTTCTGAATAGATGGCTGCTATTAGATGAATTATGGGATCATGTTGTTGTGCTGCAAGTTATTGAGCAACAAATATTCAATGTTCACGTTGTGAGTCTGGATGAGGCCTTAATGTGCCACTAAAAACTCTTCATAACTACCTACCAAGTCACTACTTGGGCCCCTGATTCGAGGTCTCATTCTATGCTCTAGAGCGAGTTCGTGAGGAAGTTTGTGGAGGCAGACATGTCTTGGAGTCGGATCCAAGTAACAACTCCTCAATTGAACGAGTATTTGTTATGAGACGATACTGCATGTGCCAACACAGCTACGAAAACATACGTGGGGATCATTATAATTCTTGAGAATTGGAATTCAATAGAGCATGACTTCATGTTTCGATCTCCTGATCACATGTAATCAGTGACAAGATACTAACTACCTATAGACTCGTTAATCAGGAAACTGGCAGAGAAAGCGGCTGATTAACTACTAGGTACCTACGTAGGATGAGCTTATGAGATAAAATTGCTCCTTTTGGTATGGAAATGAATTTTTTGTTTCATCATATTCGGCGGTTGATGAGGCAGTTGCGTCACCCGGTTCCTGCCGCTTGCTTAACCTTTAGCTCCATACAAAACCGGGAGCTGGGCTTTTGCCGAACTTTTACCCTGAGCGTTTTTGAAGCAGCTCTCAACTCCATCTAACCGAAAATCAACTGCATCGCGAACTGCGCCCTGTTCGCCATTGCATTCCCTCATGTTGCGAACTTCGCTTCAGTCTGTGAGGGCATTTGGCGGCAGGCCCGTTGTGGCCGCTGCTGCCCGCCAATGGCCCATTGCGGCTACACGGCGTGCCGGCCTTGCTGGTCAGGTAAGCTTTCTTTGCAACGTCACAGCCCGTGTTATTATTAGTTGCTTTCACCAGAAATGAACTAACCGCGACGATGGTTTCAGCGTTTCTACTCCGTCGAAAAGAAGCCCGAGCTCGATCCTACTAAGCAACCTGTTTTGCCAGCTTCCCAAACGGTTACGTCCGAGAGAATCCACGAGACCACCATTGACGATGTTGGCGAGACCAAGGCCGCTACCACAGACGTCCCTTTGACACCTCCTCCCCCTCCTCCTGCGCCTGCGCCTATCAAGAAGAAGGGCTTCTTCCGAAGGCTTAAGAACTTTGTCTTCACCCTGCTTGTTCTTGGCGTCGTTGGTTTCGCTGGAGGTGTCTGGTACTCTCGCGTGAGCGACAACTTCCACGATTTCTTTACCGAATACGTCCCCTTTGGCGAGCAGGCTGTTCTTTACCTCGAGGAAATGGACTACAAGAAACGATTCCCTAACATCACCGGCCGATCAAAGACTCAAGCCACCGAGGATGCTGTTCGAGTTCCCGCCCAAAGTGGCGCTTCCTGGAGAGTAGCTGATGCAGGCCAAGCCGGACGTCACTCAAGTGCTGGACCTGTTTCTGCCGCTGCTAAGAAGGTCGAGGAAGTTGTGAAACCAAAGGCCAAGGCCAAGGCTCCAGTCGAGGCCAAGCCTGTTGCAAAGGCTGTCGAGGAGTCTGCTCCTGCCCCCAGGTCTGACTCTGGTTTCAAAGCACCAGAAGTTAATGAGCCTTCCAAGATGCCTCCTCTCAAGCCAATTGACCTTCTATCGCTTGAGCACGCAAGGGAGCCTGTTGTTCAAGACCTAGTTCACATGGTGAACGATCTTATCCTAGTCATCAACGCTGACAATGCTCATGGGAAGTATGGCACCTCTGTTAGCAAGGCCAAGGATGAGATTGCCAAGGTCGGAGGTAAGCTCAAGGCCATGAAGGGTGAGTTTGAGAAGAAGGCTGCCCAGCAAGTCAGAGAGAAGATTGAGGAGTTCGACAAGGCTGCTACAGATCTAATTGATCGTGTTGAGAACACCATGATCAGCCAGGAGAACCAATGGCGACAAGACTTTGAGCAGGAGATGAAGAAGGTCCGAGAAAACTACGAGGATCGAGTTAATGTCCTTCTTGAGCGTGAGAAGAAGGTCAACGAGGAGAAGCTCCAGAACCAGCTCGCACAGCAGGCTCTGGCCCTTAAGAAGGAATTTACCAAGGATGTTGAGAAGCAAGTTGAGCAGGAGCGTGAGAGCCGACTAGGCAAGCTGAACGCTCTATCATCTGCCGTGTCAGACCTTGAGAAGCTTACCACAGGCTGGAACGATGTTATTGACACCAACCTCAAGACTCAGCAGCTGCACGTCGCCGTTGAGGCTGTCCGAGCCAGCTTGGAAGATGACCATCACCCTCGCCCTTTTATTCGTGAGCTCGTTGCTCTCCGGGAAATCGCTTCGGATGATCCTGTTGTCAATGCCGCCATCGCCTCCGTTAACCCATCCGCTTACCAACGCGGTATTTCTACTACCTCGCAGCTGATCGATCGTTTCCGTCGAGTCGCCAATGAGGTCCGAAAGGCTTCATTGTTACCCGATGAGGCCGGCGTTGCCAGCCACGCTTCCAGCTGGGTTCTCAGCCACGTTATGTTCAAGAAGCAAGGCCTTGCAGATGGCAACGATGTTGAGAGCATTCTTACCCGAACCCAAACATACCTTGAGGAGGGTGACCTGGATTCTGCGGCACGAGAGATTAACGGCTTGGATGGATGGGCCAAGACCTTGAGTAAGGATTGGCTTGGTGAGGTTCGCAAGGTGTTGGAGGTTCAGCAGGCTCTCGATGTGAGTTTTACCGGTTTCCATACGTTTATCTTGCTTCGCTAACATGATTATAGGTGATTGCCACAGAAGCCCGTCTTCAGAGTCTCCGTGTGGATTAAACAAAAAAGGGATGTCTCATTTGTTGTGTATAATTGGACCCAGGCGCCGTCGTGTCTAGAGAGAGGCTGGATAGCCGTGTATTAGATAGCAATAGACGATGAGGGCGTGGTTACCATCTTTTGACTATTTGTTATTGCCAATATTAACGTCTTGTTGCATGATTCCTCATCGTTTATTGATTAATACAACACCAGAAGTGAACAACTTGTTAAAGTGCACTAAAAAGTCAAAACTGCCGAGATCGAATTCGACATAGTTGACGGCGATGATTATTAGATTGTTGACTTGTCCAGCAACATTATCAAACTGTTAGTTTCTGCTATAATTGGTGGCCAATATAACTGGCATATGGGACAAGAGGCTAGTGTAGGAGTACCACATAAGTTACACATGACGACCTAATAAGCTATCCGACACTGTTTCTTCAACTTCACAGTTAACTTGGGCATTGGTTCTTCCAAGACCTGTATCTGCCAGACCTAACAACACTTGTTTAAACTGCCTACTGAATGAGAAAGAAAGAAAAATTGTTCCCTGCTGAGAAATCAATCAACGCACACAATGGCGGCACGAAGGGGCATTGGCACTGTTTCTCGCGATTACAATGAAGCTCTACGCCTACTGTCGACACTTTACTCAAATCGCCAGGCCACGAATCTTTTCGACAAATCAATCGCCTCAAATGCCTCATCTGTACCACGAAAGGATCTCAATGCTTTAGCTATTCCTGAGATGCGCGAATGGCTCCGACGTGCTGGATATGAACCAAAGGATCTTGCACGCCTGAGACACATCCACATAGCGGGCACCAAGGGCAAAGGCTCTGTAAGCGCATTTGCGACGTATATGCTACGGGAGTACGAGACTGTTGGAACTTATACGAGCCCACATCTCGTGAGCCCGCGCGAGCGCATTGCTATCCAAGGAGAGCAGGTTTCGCAGAAACTCTTCGCCGAGGCTTTCTTTGAGCTCTGGGAAAGGCTGTCTGAAGCTGCTAAGAAGGATGGCAAAAGCCTCACCGAGTCCGAAGGACCTGGCTCAAAGCCATTCTTCTTCCGCTTCATGACACTTCTTGCTTGGCATATCTTCCTGAGAGAAAAGGTCGACAGCGTTGTTCTTGAATGCGGTATCGGCGGAGAGTATGACGCTACAAATGTGGTCCCCCCCGAGGCTGTCTCTGCCGCAGTCATCACGCAGCTGGGTATAGATCATGTCGCGATGCTAGGCAACACTGTTGAGAAGATCGCATGGCATAAAGCCGGAATTCTCAAGCCAGGCGTGCGTGGTTTCGTCCGACGAATGGACGACAAGCCTGGTGTGATGCAAGTACTTCGACAACGGGCAGCAGAAAAGGGGACTGAGCTCATCGAGTTGGATGACGCCAGGATCAACCTATGGGGAGGTGTGAATGGAAGACTGCTAGGTGACTTTCAAAAGTATAACCAAGCTCTCGCCGTCTGTGCTGTACGACAACATCTAGGTATGAGTTTTGAACCCAAGGACTTTTTCATGAACTGTCAAGCAAGTATGTATATTGGGCTCCGGGACGCAACTCTGAGAGGGCGCTGTGAGATCATTCAGCAGGGTCACATTGGATGGTACCTGGATGGTGCACATACGAAGGATAGCATTTATGAGGTCGCAAAATGGTTCGCTTCGAATATTGAAAACGATGAATCCGCAATTCTGGTTTTCAACCAGCAGGAGAGGGATGCAACACAACTACTGGCAATATTGCTTGACACTGTTCAAGAATTTACTGGGAGAGAAAACATATTCAGTCATGCGCTCTTTACAAGGAATGACCAGGATGGACCTTCAATGGACGAAGAAGCCAGAGATCTGAGTGTGCAGACACGCGCGGCAAAGATGATGGCTGAGAGAGCAGGTAATTGTGAGGTTAACACATTTGATAATATCCAGGATGCTGTAGCTGAGGCTAGAAAGGTTGCAGGATCTCATCAGAAGGTTTTGGCAACAGGGAGCATGTATCTTGTAGGAGGTGTTTTACGAGCGCTGGAGCCTGAAGGTCTATTGTAAATACTACTACCTGCAGTGCCCACCAAATGCTGCAGCTCGTTCTATTATCATCAAATCATAGAGCATCAGCCTTTTCCAGTATTCCCAAGGCACCACCAACAAGATGCAAGCTGCCCGTGATAAAGGCCTGCGCCGTCTCTCCCTCTGGGAGATCCTCTCCAAGATGTCGGGCATAGTTAATGGATTGTTCGATTGTGGGCATGACTTTTACCGTGGCCGTGGGATCAAGGGACATCCACTTATCCGCAAACCGTTGCTGAACAGTCATCTTATCAATCTCAGCAGGGTCGAATTGACGGTTGACAAAGTCACGCTTGTAGCCAGATGCTGCATAGGTGACGTTCGTGCAGAAGATGACATGGTCAAATGCTGGTTGTCCTTCTCGTCTGGTCGCTTTGAAGACGGATTCGAGAAAGTCGACGGCTTCGGAACGGCCTTGTTGATTGAAGATCATGACACGCGGTCCATTGCTGAATCTATTAGTTTCAGGGCAGCATAGGGTACTATAATGACTTACCGGCCAGATGTTTCGTCGTTGAACCACTTGGACGACATCTTGAGACTATCAGAAGTATGTGCGCCATCGACGTGCCATGTCACCTTGTCTTCCTTCTTGACCTCACATCGACCTCTCCACACAACCTTTTCAAGCCCGTCCACAAACTCCTTGGGTAGAGTATCCGTCCGAGGTGGCAGAGAAATGCCAAGTTCATCCAGTGCTGTCTCGGCGAGTGCGATGGCCAGTGTAGCATTGCGCTTCTGAAAAGTTGCATCTGGTCGAATCTGGACGCTGCTAAGCCGGGGGTCGACTGGTAGGACCTTCAGATCAACGTTCTTTTCCGAGGCTCTTTTCTTCAGAACTTCTTCTGCGTCTGGAACCTGTTCGATTGTAAAAGCCGCGCTTCCAGTCTTCATGATACCCGCCTTATGCCACGCAATCTTGGCCACCGTATCACCGAGAGCAAAGACATGATCGATGCCCAGTGTACTAATGCCGGATGCTATAGGCTTCTCTACAACGTTTGTAGCATCGAATTCACCACCAATACCAGTCTCATATATAGCAACATCTATGCCCTCTTGAAGAAAGACGTGCCAACTCATCAAAGTCAGATATCGCGCATAAATAGGTCGAGGAGCCATGAGCTTCTTTGCGTCGTCTTTCGGTGCCGATTCAAGACGGTCCCACACTTGGAAGAAATACTTTGCGAACATGTCTTCCGAAATTGGCGTTGAATTGATGCGTATGCGCTCACGAACAGCGATGAGATGAGGTGATGTGAAAAAGCCTGTCTTGCGGGGTGTGCCCCTTGTGTGCTGATACTGAGAGAGGATAGAGTCGACAAAGGCGCAGGTGCTCCCTTTGCCTTTTGTGCCGGCTACATGTACAATATTGAGGCGGTTGAGATCAGACGGCTGTCATTTGATCAGTCTCATACATATGTCTCGTGCTCGAGAGTCTTACAGTGTATCCAATGCGATGAAGATATGTCTGCATTTCCTGGATAGACACAGCATCAGGCCTTATCCCCGCCTTCCGACGAGCTTCGACGACATCAAAAGGTGTCTGAAGCGAGTTGAGCGCATCAATAGCATCCTAGAATAAGTCAAGTCAGCTGGCCACTCTTCATGTCTTTTTCTCGGAGCACTATGAGAGGTTGCGTACATTATAGGACCGTCCTTTTGAGGCCATGGTGGATACTGCGACTCGTTGTACTGCTATGAGACTGAAAGGTTGCCTAAAAGCCCGCCAAGAGACATGACGCATTGAAATCGGCAACGTCTTGAGATGTTCAAGTGAAGCTGTCTTGTCTTTCGGTGGTGGTAACTCGCAGAAAGCTCGGGTAATCCACTCGTGAAATCAACGCCGTGCTATAGACGACGTATTCGAGCTCAGTGACCGCAACATAAGTTATTAATATCGAAAGAGCCGGCACAAGTCAGAGATATCAGACATCAGCTTTTTCGACTTTGCTGAATAGAGATTTGGGCTCGTAAAGCGATGTCGCCGCACACCAGACTCGGGGTGTATCCCGCTAAGAACTTAGTGATAGGACGGGCTTCGGGAGGCGAATGCCGCTGATTGGATCAATAGCCATGGCTAAAGGAAGTTTATATAAAATTGTTCAGGAAATAGAGGAATAGATATTTGCTATTATTCTGACAGTTGAACTTTAATCATGCAGCTGTGAATCGTTGTCACTTCGCCAACAAACACCTGACAAACCCAAGACTAACATGCATTGTCCTTCGGGAGCCCTCCGAATATCGGAGCCCTCAACCGATATTGTAATCCTCAATAAGACCTTCTCTCTGCAACACCCACTTGTTCATGCCTTCTTGTAGGGCTTCGGTAAAGTCACTATCGAATCTCTTTCCGCTATCAGCCCATGCCAACCTTGCTCGCCAAGTGAGCCACTTCTCTGCCATGACACCTTCAGGCGCTCTGATGATACCCGTAGCCAAGTCGACAACATGATGGTTCTCAGACGGCATTCGACAAGCGTGAGAGAAGAAGACGGTGGCACCGCAAGTGCCGCAGAAGGATCTCACTACATCGTCCGACGATTTGAACGTCTTGGCGCTCCCAATGAGTAGATCGTCTTTGATACGGGGTTCGCATATGGATAAGGGGATAAATGTCCATCCCACAACGTTAGTCCCATTGTGAAGCCGGCAATCATCACATGCGTCAAAAGTCGCAAGCCACTTGGTATCATCTCTGTGCGAAACAAATTGCGAATAGAATTTGTCCTCCTTGATCTCTTGGCTCGGCCGGGGAATGGTGAAAGAAATGCCTTTACACTCGCATTCCACACGAAGACGCTCTTCCCCTTCTTTCCCAACTTCCACATGAGATTCAACGATCTTTGCCTCGGGGCTGCCGTCAGAAGGGTTCCAGTCAATGAACTCCTTTCCGCCAGTATGTGTCAGGGTTTCGGCGATGCCCCGGTCCTTTGTGGAGTTGCTGAAGATGTGCTTGCGGACATCAAAGGAGTCTGAGGCGTTCACGAATGTTGATGAAGCAACTGTCCAGAACTCGTTCTCAGGCGGCCCAGTTGAAGCAATGTGACAACCACACGTTGAGCAGAAGTTCCATGTTCCGATCTTCTTCCCAATGGCGTAGCTGGTCATATTGCTTCTGGAGGATGGCTCCACGAACTTGGGCTTCACCCCATCGGGCAGCGGAGCATGGAAGATGCATGGCGCACCAGAGCCATACCTGCAGAGGCTGCAATGGCAGAGATGGGTGAGTAGAGGTAGTTTCGAAACCGGTACATCGATTGTGTAATGGACAGAGCCGCAGTAGCACTTGGCTTCAAGAGTCTTGCTTTCATTACATTCTGCCATGGCTGAGATAGGCACAAATAGGCTTAGATGTGTAGGTAGTAAAGACTGTTCTGTTGGTGATCAGTGTATAGGTAGTGAACGAAGTTGCAGGTCAGCCCACGGCGAAAGACCTTCTGCTTTTATACAGCGGCTTCTGCTTGTGGGGATAACTCAACAGGCAGGTGTCGCCATACGTCGTCTTACAATTTCTTGGATATATGGAAGTGCATCTGGCATGGAACAAGGCGGGTCGGAAGAATTCAGGCCGATGTATTACATGTTTGCCCACATTTGAGCATGTTGATGCTCTATCAGAATTCATAGCCAAAGATGGCATTATCTGTTAATTCCATAACAGACAGCGTGAAGTTCACCTTGTCACTGTCTTGGTGCACCCCGCGATTAAGGCCTTTGACCTGAAGGGCGTGCATAACGCTAAGGCTGAGATCGCTAGGTCGTTATCGATCGCCATTGCTTGAATTAGCGGGCAGATGTTGGTCGTGGTGGGTCAAACGTTGACAGTGAAATATAGCCAGATTGATAGCCGAAGTTAGCCCGCCAATCTTCAAAGGCCGGCTCCTAACTTTTTTTTCTTAGTGGAGAGGCTGGACCATTCATCATGACTTCGACGCCTCACAAACTTTCTTCCTCTTCTATCTCCTTCTATCGCAGCGTCATAAAAGTTGCACCAGATTAGAAAAATGGCAGAGGTCTCGGACTTTGATAAGCAACAAAGGCAGCTGGAAGATGATCTTAGCAAGCTGCAAAATGCCCTGAAGCATTGGCAGACCTGGCATGTTGAGTATGAGATGCTCAAAGAAGAGGTCGAAGCCGTGTGCAAAGATGGCGAGACAGAGCTCAAGACTATTCATACCGGGTTCGAAGGAGAGCTTCTGAAAGATCGTGAACTTGATGAGATCTTTGGTGAGAGAACACATCGATCTGGCGAACAGATTTTGAATATTCTTGACCGACGCATCGATTACGTTACCACGAATATCACATCGCTACAGAAACAGATCAGCGCTGCTGAGATGAAGCTTGACGAAAGTCAACCCGACTTTACTGAAGACGACGGTCTGCCTATCACAGAAATCATCGAGCAGCTTGATGATGATGACAACGTCATCTCTTACAAGCTTAACCAGCCTGACACTGCCTTACCTAAGATTCAAGATGCCCTTCAGAAGGCCGGCATCGACGATCTCGAAGATGACAACTCAGCCTCAAAAGCCGAGAGCTCTAAACAAAAGGAAGCAGAACATTCCCAAGAAAGTCCTTCCCAGCATACAGAGCTTGAATCCACGACTCTAGCACCATCCGCCACTAAAGGTGTGGTGTTTGCTGCAGAAACTAAAATGCAAGACGGCCCAAAGCCCCAAGTCTCGCGGAATGCTAAGCGTGTTGAAGAGATCATGAATCATGCCAAGGAGCAGGAGAAGATCAGCAACGAGCAAGCGTACATCCCCGAAGATGAGGAGGAGGAGGACGCGGAGTTGCGGCGGCAGATGCTCGAATACTCGGGAGAAGTTGGTGCTGTTGTCGCCGAGCTACAGCTCGAAGAGGGAGACAGCGACGACTACGAATATGAGTACAGTGATGAAGGTTTTGAGGATGATGACGACGATCAGGAAGACAAATACGGTCGGTATACTGGCCGCGTTGTGACGGATGATTACCGTCAAAGAATGCTGGAATTAGAGAAGAAACTGGGCATCAAATCCCGCTTCACCGAGCAGCCAGAAGATAGGGATGGTGACGCAAGTTCGGATGACGAAGAAGGCATTGGCCGTATCGTAGTCAAGCCTGCCTCTGCGACAACAACATCATCGTCCTCAGCCTCGAAACCTGCGCCCACCAAGTCAAACATCAAAGAGAAGCAACCAGAACAGCCCAACGGCAAAAAGGGCGTTCGCTTTGCTTCCAATCTTGATATCGCACCGGAGAACGAGCCCACTATCCTTCCAGTGAGAGAAGCTGCTGTGAAGGAAAAGGAACCCATTGTGGAACCATTGAGCGACAAAATTGTTGAGCGCTCCAGCACTGCCAAGGCTCCCGACACATCTGAAATCAAGTCGACGCGCAAACCATCGAGATTCAAGAAGGCCAGAGATATTGTTCCACCGGGCCCTCTCGATGTCCCCGCCAAGTTCTTAGATCAAGACAGGCCCATGGCACCTACGGGTCCTGAAGGAATAACACTCGCTGACACATTAGTTGAGCGCGAATCCATACGCGCTGCTCCTCACCCACCGGATGAGTTCGATGATGAGTTGATATATCAAGAGGTCGCTGATGAGCACCACAAGCTTCGAAAGAAGTTCATCCAACGAGAAGGTGGGTTCCTCAAGGAAGATGAATCTCCGATACAACCTCTGGAGGAGCAAGATGGCGGACGGGAGCCAGTCAGTCGTTTCAAGGCTGCTAGGCTCTCAAAGTACTAAACAAAGTAAAATAAAGGACAAGAAAGCAAGGCACTCAGGTCTGGAAATGACAATGGGATGAGCTGCCGGGGGAACGAAGAGTCGAGAAGAATCGATTTGTTGCCCGTCTTATGCTGCTCTCGAGTTGCCTTTTGTGAAGTGGCATAAGTGATTGCTACAGTGCTACACTCTAATGCGCGTCGTTTATGCTAACTCAAAGGACAACTTGACATTTGATTTGGCTGTCGACTATTGACTCTGAGGGGGGGGGTCACACGGAACGCTTTTCAAATCTGACAATTGATGTGTTGCAGCCTTTAATCTGCTTCTACATTACTAGCGGTTCCAATAGTAAATTCGGACGGGCTCTCTGAAACCTTTACCTTAAGCTTGTGGTTTTGGTTATTCGTTTCACCCTTTACATTTAATTTTAGCTATCACACCTTGTTTATTAGCGGCCTGGAGAATTAATTCATGTGCCTGGGTATTCTTATCTGTTGTCCCTCTGCCTCGGACCCTCGGTGGCTTAGTTTTCATGACTTGCGTGGTGTTTGTTTGTCTACGCCTGCGTCTGCGTCTCTCTTATTATCCCTGTTTGTCGTATTGCCTATTCAAGCTTTTGAGGCTTGCATAAATGTGGAATGCGGGCGTTCCGGAAGTTCGGCACCGCATCTTTCGGCAGTGACCGTGCCGGTTAATGGCTTGCTGACGGCTCTGGGCCCTATCATTGGCGAATGGCGTGCCTGGACGAAACCATACTCGGCGTCGGTTTGCCGTACGTCTTATACATAGTATCCTTAATAGTATGGACCCTGGCCAGAACTCTCTCCCTACGGCTGCTCCCGCAGACAGTATCTCAGGCCTGGACGGCTACTCGGCATCTCAAGCGTACGTCACAGAAGTCTCTGGTCAAAGCTGAATTAACAGGAATCATACGGTGAGGCCAATCAAGAATGTAGACAACGCCAGGAGCTCCTGGGACCGAGTGGCTGAGTTTCAGTGAACAGAGAGAGGCCTCTCAGTTGGCTCAAGGTACTTAAGAGCTCGTTCCTAGCTGTGGGATTACAGACTTGCTACAATACAACACACAGACAGCACTAAACAAACAAACAAACAAACAACTCTACTTCAACATCCACTCACTACCTTTCCTCTTCTTATCCAGATCCATCACTCGATCTCCCTCAAATCATTCAAGATGCCCGCCGCCATGGAACCCACTCAGCAAGCCCCCATGACCTCTGATAACGGAGACATCGTCACACAGCAGCCCGTAAGTTGCATCGTACGCAAGGCAAGGCTCCATGCTTCACAGACTAACACGTATGAAGAGCGCTGAGCCTCAGCCTGACATGACCATGCGTGGTGGTGAGGAGGCTGGCTGTGAGATCTGCTGTGGTCTCTGCGCCTGCGATGAGGGATGCTGCTAAGCAGACAGACACGGACTCGCGTAGAGTGTTCCGAGTAGAATAGACTGCTCGGGATGGAGTTTGGGTAGCATTGTTATCGTGATTTAGCAACTCCCGTCTGGATGTGATCCAGCGGAGCAATAAACTACATTCAAACATCACATCTGATATCCTTCATGATATAGGCTTTATGTCTAATAGTAACCTAAACCAGCGATCTGGGGCAGATTCTTCATGACAGTTTGGCCAAACCCTTTTGAGGGATCCGTTGTCTGCACAATGTGTATCCACCTACGCCCGGAGGTTCACAGTACAAAGATCATGGCATCAGACTCCAGGAGTCTCGAGTCAGCCATGCTTCTACCTGGGCAATTGGCTAGTCATGATCCATCATTGTTCTGATGCTTCCTTCTGATGTCCCTACTTTCCAACTTTGCATCTCAAGCTTGATGTCCCCAGCGAGTTACAGTATTGAGATGTGACAACGTCCAGACGAGCAGATAGATTGGCATTTATACACGAGTCTTAGGAATGCAACGGTGCCCCGTACGATGCACTATAAAATGAAAAACATAATATATTTCAAAGCTGGTACGATGTTGTTATTCGTGGGCCACGTTTCTCAGGAACCTAGCCATACTCGCTTGTTCATACTGGCTCAGTAGAACAAGTTCACTATTAAGTAGCCCGGCTGTTCATATGGGTCCGAATACCAGTCGCACACATCTCTTTATACCCGTGGACTCTTTCACAAGCAAACTTTTGCTTGGCTTACGTTTCATGGTATCTTGTCCTCCTTCGTCCTCGTCTGCCTCTGTTTTCTAGCCTTGTTTAGCATCATGGTCCCGCATCTGAGCTCTTATGTGATCCGGGAGGTCCCTGATGTCGACAATTTGTAGGCCTTGTTTCTTTCTAGCAGAACCTGGGGTACCAAACGTCACCTCTAGCTCAGCCTTCCTGTTCTCATCGCCCTCATGGCTGGCCGTTAGTGAGGGCGACCGTCCTTGAGTGGAAGAGTGTGGACTCTTCTGAGGCCTGTTAGGTGTCGATGGAACTGGGGCAGACCGTCTCGGTGGTATGAAGATAGTGGGTAGCTTCTTCTGCCTTGGTTTCTTCAGTTGTGCCTGTTTTTTCCTGTTGAACTCTGCAACCTCCTCAGGGTCAGGGCCAGATTTCTCGGGTGTTGGTG